GGCGCTCGTGGAAAATGGCCAGTAACGGGTTATGGTAATAGGGCTGGAACAGGGTCAGCCCCCCCCCCCAGCGTGGCGATGCAGCGGCGAGGCGAGGCGGATCGCGGATGCACTCCGACGTGTTTGCCCCGCCGCCACTCATCCGATCAACATTTTTGTCTCGGCGCTGTTTTGACGTTTGGGGAGGCAGTGTAGGTACTGTGTCGCGCTTCGAACCGAACGTGTGACCCCACCAATGGATTGCTCTCGGAACGGGGAATCCGTTGGTGGGGTCACACGCGCGGTTCGGGTCCTGCTTGGCGGCTCTGGAGGTCCTAACGCGTCTAGAGTTTTCTGCGCCCACTGTGCGCCGGCGAGTCCATCGCTGCCGTGGGCGTCGTGGGTCCGAGCTGCGGGTACCGTCGCAGTCACACGGCCGGGCGTCGTCCAGGCCTGCGTCCGGGCGAACGGACACCGCGCCGCCGGGTCTCCAATGACGCCGAGAAAGTGGAGGACGTCTCGCCTCGTCCCCGGGAGGACGTTCTTCGGGGGGACGCCGCCGTCAGTGAAAGCGCGGCGCGCGGCGTGGACACTGCAAGTGCGCCACAGTGGCCCCGCGGCCCGAAGAGGGCCCAAGTGCCGCCTTGGTTTCGTTGCGTGTCGGATGGCCGGTTTGTTTGCAGTCGCCGACCACAGGCCCAGTGCAGGCCGTGCAGGCCGTGTCGGCCGTGTTCGCAGGGTTTCTGTGGCGGTGCGCCGCCGACTACCTACCCGTCGTTTGTTGTGAAACGCGCGCCTGATTGTTTTCAACGCCTCTGCGTCTGTGTGCGTACGAGTGTGTGTGTGTACATGTGTCAGAACGCTGTGATGCTTTACTCTCACCTCACAGCCCACCTACGCGCCCCCTATGTGCTCGTACTCCTCTGGTGTGTGTGTGTGTGGGGGGGGGGGGCGGTGTGTGTGTGTGTGTTCGCGACGCCTCGCCACCCGCGCACAGCGCCGCCCCATACGTGTCCGTCCATAAGAAGTTTGACGGCGCTAAGCCGGTGCCGTTCGGACTGGCCGAAAAAAAGAAAGCACACTCTGCATCCGCGACGAGGCGGCCCGCGCCTTGCGTCACACTGCAAGGCCTGCAACGCCTGCAAGGCCTGCTTGAGGATGTATCGGGGCCGATGATATGTTTCGTCCTCCTCGCGCGGCTCGGTTCCAATGTTCGAATTCCCCCCCCGCGCGCGTCGGCTTGGTTTTATTTTTCGCGTTGCGTGCGCATGCGGCGTGTCGTGCGCGCGGGATTTGGACCGTCGCTCTGTCTCTCTCGCACCCGTGCGGGTTGCCGCGGGCGCCCGTGAGTGCGAGAGAGACGGAGCGTGGCGCGCGCATTCAAATGCCAGGGGGCGTTTCGCCACGCGTGCGTGCGAGTTTTAAGACCACCGGTAGTGTCGGGGGCAGGTCCAGGGTCGTTGCCCAAGTGTGTGATTGGACGGTCGAAATCTCTCTCTCTCTCTCTCTCTCTCTCTCTCTCTCTCTCTCTCTCTCTCTCTCTCTCTCTCTCTCTCTCTCCTTGTCCCTCTCTCCCTCCCCCCCCCCCTCTTTCCACCCTCGGATTGAAGTGAGACTGTTTCTCGCACCGCGCAAAACTGACGTCGCTTTGTTGTTGTTGTGCTGAACTTTGGTCCTATCGCGTCCTACCGCGTGTAGGGCAGGCCGGCTCAGTGACCCCGTCGTAATGAGGCAGGGAAGGGCCCCAGGGCGCCGGAAGGGCCCCGCGGGAGAAAGCCAAGGGCCAAATGAGTGTCTCTATGTCGAGCAGGGTGCGCTTCGCGAGAGGTACTTCGCTTCTCTCTCTTACCCTTTTTCTTTTCTCTCCTGCTGGTCGGGGCTCCTGGAAATAAATAAAGCTGCCGAGGAGGATCCACCGTTGGCGATGGGGCCCTCCCCTCAGGGGCCCTCGGCGGGGCGAGCGGGGTCGGTCCGGGCCAAGCGGGTTTGGCACCGTCGTTCCGAAAGTGATCGGACCGGAGGCGCTGCTGGCTGTTGGTTTATGGGCGGCCAAGCACCGCGAAGTCGAGGCGCTTTTGCCTCGTTAGGGGCGGCCGAGAGTCGAACCCGGGGCTCTATCCGGCCCGATCGGGGCGGTCTGCCAGTGAAACTGGGGAATCGCTCCACGGCCGCGCACATCGCGTATACGGACGGCCCCCGCGCGGCCGGGACTTAAGGCACGGCCCCGCCGCTGCCCGGCCACTGGATCATACCGGCCGGGCTTAGCCGTGTTCCCATGAGAAACCCTGCTTGCCTGTGCGACTGCTGGCGGTGCTGCTGCGGCGTTGTGACCTTTACCCATTTCACAAGCATGTCCCTGTGTTGTTTGTGGGAGGCTGTGTGTCGAACCGAAAATCGCCGTCCGATTGGCTGCCTGGCTTCGCTCGCGGGTGACTGTACCCGCGTAATGCAACCGTCACGGAGAGGTGGCCGTGGCGCCCGGACGCGCCGTGAGTGAGGGAAATACAAAAGTCGCTGCCGACTGGCCGAAACGGCCGGGGATGGATAACCTCCTCTTCCTCCCCCCCTTGGGCCGGCCCTGGATCCGCCACTGGAGCGGTGGAAGTCTGTTGCTGGACGGGGAGGTGCTACACTGGAACGGGACTCGTATACTCGATTAGAGGCGCCAGCACGGCGATCCGTCGGCCACTCCGTCGGCGATTTGGCGGGACTTGCCGCGCTCGCACGCGTTTTGAGTTGCACCGCGCGGTCGGCCTTGCGCCACGCCGTGCCGTGCCGTGCCGTGCCGTGCCCGCGCGTGTTCGCGGCCGGGCTCCTGTGGGAACGCCGCGCGCTCGAAATTTGATCTGTTTTCCGTGGCGCCTCGAAATGTGCGCGCTTGCCTAGTGTTCTCACCGCGGCCTGCCCCCACACGCTTGCGCCACGCTGCGACGCCGCGCGCCGCGCCGCCGGCGTTCTGAGGACCACAAATTTGCAGCCGGCTGCGTCCGGGCGAACGGGCGCGTGCTTTCGTTGGCGCTGTCTCTCTCCGCCTCGCTGGCGGCCCTTGGGGGTGCGAGAGAGACGGAGCGGCGGCACACTGTTCGGAATGCCGGGGTTTGAGGCGTTGGGCAAGCCAGCCTAGCCGCGCCTAGCCGCGCCCGGGGGCGAGGGCAGGCGGGAGCGATCGACGGGTATTTGTGGTCTGCTGGGCGCGCCGGGTGGAGAGGTGTGTCGTTACCCTTTTTCAGGTTGTTTTTTCAGCGCGAGGGTGTTTTTTTTCCTTGGCGCCTTTTGAAGTGTCGGTATGACAAATAGCGGGTGCGGTTGATCGCGCTACTGTACCGCGGCCGCGGGGCCGCCAGACGCTGCTCTTTGGTCTGGGTGGGTTCGTTCGGCGAAGCTGGTTGCTGCACTGTAGGGACGCTGCCTTTCGCGGCGTCGCCGTGCCATTCAAGTCTCGTCACGCCGCGTCCCGCCGCGTCCCGGCGTGTCACGCTGTGCCCGACCTACTTGGCCTCGCGTGGGCCGAGCCCCGCCGTCCCCGCCGTCCGCCCCGACGGATGATGCGCGTGTGCAACACCTGTCTGTCTCTCTCGCACCCGCGAGCGTGACCGAGACGACGCTTTGGAATCGGTCTTCTGCTAACGAGCGAGGCGCCTCGGCTGCTGTGTGTCTGTGGCGCGCCGGAGGCGAGCGCCTGCGAAGTCGAGGGTAGGCCGCCCCGCCGCACGCGGGCGCCTGGCCGCGGCCTACCCAGCCATTGCCATTACCATTAAGGGCTAGCCGCGGAGGCGGCCAAAACTCTAGACGCGTTTTGAGCTCCAGAGTCGCTAAATGGGACTCGAACCGAACGTGTGACCCCACCAATGGATTGCTCTCCGAACGAGCAATCCATAGGTGGGGTCATAACTTCTGTTCGAGGCCTGCTTAGCGACTCTGGAGCTCTTAACGCGTCTAGAGTTTTGGCCGCCTCCGCCGGTTTCCTGGCCCACTGTGCCGTGCCAGCCAGTTGGGTTTGTGGAGCCTAGCCTCGAAACAAACGGTGGCCGGACACAAGTGTGTGAGCCCTGCTCGTGAGCCGCCGGCGGCCTGGCGGCGCGGCGAGCGGCCGACCCGGGTTCGATTCCCAGCCGCGCCTCGCCGCGGCCCGACCGCTAGGCCGCCAGCCTCGCCGTGTCGCAACGCAGACAATTAACCAAATGCACGATAGGCCGCCCGTCAGGGGGCACGGTAATGAAGCGCGGGTGGCGGGGCGGGGCGGGGCGGGGCGGGCTGCTGCAGGGGCTGGCGATAAAGTTGTGCAAGCGCCGCGCCACGCCGTAGTGTGTTTCGGGGCAACATGAAAAGTGACGAATCAGATGACGGGGTGGCCGTACACGACCCGGCCGCTGCGCGCCACGCGCGCTCATGCGGCACACCGCGGTGATCTTGTCTGCCGGTCCGTCCGTCCGTCCGCCCGTCCGCCCGCCTGCTTAGCGATCATGAGTCTTAGAAACGTGCCGTTAGTCATGAATTATGAGTAGCGCTGTCGAGATTTGGGTTTTGTGTGCCTTTGCTGTAAGTTGACGCTTAATGGCGACCTTGGTGCGCCGCCCGTTCACCTTTTTATCTCAGTTTGGCCAAGCGCAGCCACTGGCAAAAGTTGTGGTCGTTTATGACAATTTTTGACAGCTCGACGCGCCGGCCGCGGGTTCGCCTCCCGGCGTGGCCTGCGTGTTTTTGTCTCTGTGCGGGCGGTGACCAATTCAATGAGTGGCTCGTCTGGCCGCCACGCCCACGCGACGACGCGGCGACGCGCCACTCCCACCGCGTCATGACGTTGGTGTGTTTGGCCGCGCTGTGAGCTGTCGCCCTGCGGGCCCTGCGGCCACATAGGCGGCCACGGTGTGTTGCCGCGCCCGCCAAATGGTGCGCTTTTGAGATAAGATGGAAACGGAGAATCGGTGCGGTGCCTAGAGGCTGCGTGACTCAAAAGTTCCTTTCAAGTCCTCACTGCAATACAATGACTCTGATTTTGGAGGCTAAGTGAATGATGCCGTATGTTGCAAGGAGTCACAAGACTTGTGTTGGTGTTTCAGGTTGCTACTCGAACAAGGACACCAATGGCTCGGGATTCCCCGGCTTGTCCCTCGCCGTCTGAACTGGACGTGCCCTTCCGCCTCCACTCGTCGGGGCTGCCGGTTGGGGAGCGCGGTTCTTGTAAGGATGCAAGCAGTGTTCTTGGAAGTGAAGGAAGCTTCAACACTACGGAGAAGAATTTCAAATGCACAGTTTGCCTGAAAAGGTTTCAGACTGAATTACAGCTTAGAGCTCACCTGGAAGCGCATCTCGTGAGCTGGAATGGAGTCAAGATGTCAGAATGCAAAATTTGTTTTAAAAAGTTTTCTTACTCCTATATTAAGACGCATCTTATGACACACTCAGGCGAGCTCTATGAATGTGTAGTTTGCGCTGCTCAGTTCAATCTCTACTGCGACCTGAGAATTCATGTTCGCATCCATACGAGGGAAAAGCCGTTCGACTGCCCAGTTTGCAGTTACAAGTTTAGGACGGCATACCAGATGCGAGTTCATCTAAGAACCCATACAGGAGAAAAGCCCTTCCAGTGCGAAGTTTGCCCGAAGAAGTTTAGACAGCCAAGCCATCTTAGAACTCATCTGCGAACCCACACAGGGGAAAAGCCCTATAAGTGCACAGTTTGCAACAAATCCTACAGTGAGTCAGGAAATTTTAGGGTTCATCAACGAACGCATACAGGTGTGAAGCCGTACGAGTGCAAAGTTTGCAGTAAGAAGTTTAATCAGCCAAGCCATCTTCGGTATCATGTCCGAATTCATTCAGGAGGCCTGCCTTTTGAGTGCACATTTTGCAAAAGAAAGTTTAGACAGGATGGCACTCTCCGAAGTCACCTCAGAACCCATACGGGCAAGAAGCCTTATTCTTGCATTGTTTGCAAAAAAGAATTCACCACCGGTTCTGGTCTAAGGAGCCACCTTCGAGTCCATACAGATAGCAAGCCGTTCAAGTGCAAAGTTTGTGACAAAGACTTTCGCCATTCTTTTTCTCTAAGAACTCATCTTAGAGTTCATACGAAGGAGATGCCTTATGAGTGCCAAGTTTGCAAAATGAAGTTTCGTTACTCTTCTAATATCAGGAAACACCTTCGGACCCATTCTGCAGGAAGAGATTTGGCTTCAGTCTGAACGGATTCTTCGGACTCGTACAGATTAGCGCATTCCTTAAAGTTAAATCCGCATGGATGCCATTAATCAATATCAATCCATTTTGGGTGTGTTTTTATACTCTTGAGTGTCAAAAGGGAGTTCTCAATGCTCGTCTATTGTTTTCACTGAGTTAGGCTTGCGAAAATTCAGTAACCTCGGACCATGGCTTGTGTTTAAAGTCATCTTAAAACTTAGATTGTTAATAATCTTCTATTGTCGAACTTGCTTCGCTGACCTGTTGCGTATCTGACCTGACACACTGATATTTTTGTTGATAGAACTGTAATAATTGTTTGTAGAATTATATGGTGAAAGCATTCTTATTTTCTGGTGTCCTTAGTCCGCCCTGGTCCGTATTTGCGAAGGAACTGTTGCACCCAACGTGCTTCAGTGGTCTCTTTGCCTCGGCATGGCAAGTCGTTTGTGCCTGTCTTCACGGCGTTAAAGTGGACGCGATGAACCCCTCCCCTTTGACCCTGTGCCACGGTCTTATCTTATCGCTGCGAAATTTGCCACAAATTGAAAACGAAGGCTGTGGAGGTTCTACAAGGGCAGGGCGACGAGCACTGCCAGGAATCAATCTGCTGTACAACATGGGCAGTATCTCGCCTGCTTGCCCGAGATACTGCGCTATCGGGCGGGGCGCCCGCGGCAGCGTACAGCAAGGCAGAAGCAGCGGTATGGTGAGGTCCAACTCGAATCGGTCTGGATCTTCCTTTCTGTCCTTGTTTATTAAGAACTATTTTCAGTTCATTTTTGACCCCGTTAAAGCTAAAAAAAAATACTTATCACAGTTTGCGAACATTTTTTCGGCTTTCTTATCGATACCGCGTACCCAGGCGTGTACCTGTAGTTGGTTTCGCTTGCGAGTTCTCCAAAGAGTTTCCTATCTAGCCTTATCTCTGGCAATCCGCTGAAAGTGTGGGCGGGTGTATCCTGCTAATGTTGCAGCAACTAATGCAACGCCGCGGGCTGAGCCCAGACTGCAGCATCGGAGGCGTTGCGGAGATGGAAAGATATCGAGTGTAGGAAGCCGGGCAATCGGCATGGAATCTAGGCAGCAGAATGGTTCCCCAAAGCCACGTTATCGACGCTGTAAAGGTTGGCGCGGCGCGTCACTGCGGAGGCTGTAAAGAAGTGCATCTGCTGCACGGTGCGCCAAAGTGGTGCAACTGGTGAAGGTCGCCGCAGATGATGCTTTTGATAGCGCGCTCACACACTGCAACGCGCGTAGTTAGCTGACATTCAGTTTACGGCGCCTCACCTAGTGCCCTACACTGCAGCGCGCTGGCCGTGGGGGGCGCATTTTCACTCGTGATGATCGTAAAGCTGAGAATATTGTCGCGGCGCGCAGTAAAAGTCGGAACAGGTGGGAGTTGAACCCGCGGTCATTGTCCGCGCAGGCGTGACCTATTGTTGCCGCGCATATGGCTCACTTACGCCCGGCCGGCCAGCGTGCGCCGCGTGCACCGCGTGCGTGGCGGTAGGTCAAGTGCCCCGGCCCGTTAGGCTGCTTCACGCTCTATTAGGAGGGCGGTGGGATTGCCAGCAGACGACGCCAGCAGACGACGCCGGTCTGGCTAATCATGCAAGCTGCGGTGGTAAAGAGAGCTATGTCCTCAATCAACAACCGGACCAGAACCGGACCGGATAAAGATCAGCTCTTTTCTGGGGCTTTCGTGACCTTTCGCAAATTGCCAGATGGTCATAACGAGTGTTATGACGGGGGCATCTTAAAACAACTTGAGCCGCAGTGCGCATGTCCGAGAGGGGCGCAGGTTTCGCACTGGAGAGGGGAGAGAACCTCTTAAGAGACGGTTAGAAAAATAAACTTCTTTTTAAAACATTTGAAAGGTAAGAAGGGTGGAGTCTGATGCAGTATTTTCAGTACATGGGGACAGTTCTGGGGACAATCCTTTTCGTCAAATTCAGACCAATTAATGATCATCTCGCCACCACCTAGATCCTGACTAGTTTCCTGTCACGCAGAGTGTCTATGGAACCGCAGAGTATGAAGGTTTCCTCCACCGCGAAATAACAGAAAACGCCGCAGGATTCTCGGTTAAGGAGGCCTCGTTATCCGAATGTGAGTCCATAACCGACTTTCTGGCATTCCATGGGAGCCGCGGCGCTTCAAAGTGGGAGAGCTGCGTTTTGTTTCCTGGGTTTTTGCCTTGCCTTCCGAGGAGCGGCGGTCTTGGCCGCGGCTGCCGGTCGGAGGAGGCCAGGCACCGGCAGCACCGGCCTGGCGGGGCGGGGCTTCGCGCGTGTGTGTAACGGTCCCTGCTGCCTACCCACCAGGGGCGGCTGGCCCGCCAGCCCGGCCGCCGCTGCTCTCGCTGTAACGGGACGAAAATTACCCTACTCGAGGCTAGTCCAACAGCGCGGCCAGAAATCCAGTTTTATGACTGCAGTGCGAATTGACGTGTGTAATGAATTCGGTCCACGTCGCCGCCACTGGAAGATGGATGCGCCTCGGCGAGGACGTGGACGTCGGCAGCCCAGCTAGGTGCGCCAGGCCGCGCAGGCACAGGGGATTTAGCAGTGGACTTCTTTGTATGCCCCGCGGCGTTCGTGGTACACGCGGCGTGCAGGGTGTTGCCCGTTCGTTTTCGGAGGTATGCGGCGCCGGCAAGCCGCGGCAAGCACAACAAATCGTGGCCTACAGGCCTACAGGTCGCAGGTGTGGCCGCAGTGCTCACAGCGGTGCAGGATTCGGCAGGATGGCTTGGAAATCTGGAAAAACGCATCCAAGGGTCACGTGACCAACACGTTCAGCAAAATCTAGTCCACCTCAGAAAAGCTTGAACTTCCTCGCTGTGCCGCTTGCTCCCTGTAATTCACTTTTCGGACACAAAAAAATAATCCGAGAGATTATTCTTGAGGCGAAAAAACCGCAGAGCAAGGAGAGGATAACGACTGATGTTTTTCCGGATGCGCGGGGCACAGCTTAGCTTATTGAAGGGAGATGTGTGGTCCGCAGCGGCGTGACTGTAAAGTGTGTTATTAGCAGCACACCTTTCACAACGCCAGTACATCCAGTCCTGTTGGTTCGCGGCGGCTCTTTAGTCCGCATCAGTGTCAAGTATTTTAATTTTGCTCCGTGCGCTCCTGTGAGAGTGTGAGTGAAGGAGGAGAAGGGGTGCTCGACGATGAAGTGCCCCGTCTTTATCGAAGCATTGGCCAGATTGGATCTGATTGGAAGTCCTCCAAAGCGACGGACTTCCCTGAGTAGTACTGTCACGGTGAAGTACGCAAATGAACTTAACGAAATGAACTAAAGCGCACGATTGTCAACAGCGGCGTTCGGGCCGGGGGCAAGGCCCAGTCCCAAGGCCCAACGACGTGTGCTGCTGCCTCGCGTGATGCCCGCAGGATGTCAGTCATCCGCATCCGCTGGCAGAGCCAATGCAGAGCCAAAGCAGAGCTCTGACGGCCACACAATTTTTGCCGGTCCGCCGCGGTCCAAGTCCAACAGCACAGGCAGAGGCTGCCGGCCCTGCGGCCCTCCGTCGCCATCTGGTCACTACCCCCTCCCCTCTCCCCTGGCGGGGCGCATCCGGTGTGCTGTACGCCGTAAGGCCATTGTTCCCTCTCTGTGCCATTCCATGTTGGGGGGGGGGGCAAGGTTTGTACGGTAAACGCGCTCCAGCGAGCCGGCCTGGAGTTTTGCTCCAGGTGATGGGATGCTCCATGACAGTGTGGCGCGGGGGTATGCAAAAGCCTTGTCCATTCCGGGAAGTCAGCGGCGCGTACACTGCCGTGGATCCCGTCGAGGGAGACGCGGTTTCTGGAGGAACGCGGCCGAAAGTGTGGGAGACAGAGTGCACACTCACGTTTTAGGGGGCGTTCTAGGCTGAAACCTTGGTTCCTGGGTAATGTTTCTACTGTCTTAAGCCTATAGCATCGTTTTGGCATCGTATTCCAGGGACGAGATCACGCTCTTTCGGACACGCATCCATTTACTGAATCCCGATGGCAGGCCGAGAGGTGCACGGATATGAAGAAAGGCCCGATTTCACTCTCATGCTGCCAACTCTTTCCGGCGCCGCGTCACAGTGTGCCTTGCTGTGCGTCGCGGGGTCAGGTCGTCGCGCCGGGACTCGGTTTTGCTCCGCTTTTGTGTGCGAGCCATTTTGCACACACGGCACGCTTTCCCTTCCGAAACCGCGACGCGCGCCGCCCCCGCGCCGTCGCACAGTGGGCCAGAAGACCGGTGGAGGCGGACAAAACTCTGGACGCGTTTTGAGCTCCAGAGTCGCTATTCAGGCCTCGAACCGAACGTGTGACCCCCACCAATGGATTCCTCGTTCGGAGAGCAATCCGTTGGTGGGGTCACACGTTCGGTTCGAGTCCCATTTAGCGACTTCGCAGCGCAGTGCGCCAGCAAATGTGGGGGACCGTCCGCAACAGTAACTTTCGTGTCATCGCATTATTTACGAACGGCCCCCCTCAGTTATTTTTTGCGAAGCAGTGCGTTGTTACGAGGTGTCGTGATTGACGGGTTGCGTATGTGCACCGCGTGGCGCGGCGTGGCGCGGCACGGCGGGAGGCTGATTGGCGCCTAAGTCGCTCATTGGCCGTCCATTGAGTCAGATGACAAACCGCAGCCGCCATGTCTGGCTTATTGCGTCCGCAGGGACACCGCAAGGGCCGCGGGGGCCGACGGCGGGGCCGCGAGGCGACCGGATGGCCGCTGAGGCGGGTCCAGAGCCGGGGCTGAGTTTTTGCCTTCGTACAGCGCCAAAGTGCGGCCTTTTGCCTACGTTTCAGGCGGCCAGCGAGGAGCCAAGGAGGTTCAATTGTCGCTCCCCCCCCCCCCCCCTCTGGATCCGCGCCTGTCTGTATACGATGGGAGCCCCCATGGCAACGCCAGCCGGCGGGTCACGCAGGAGAAGCAGCAGAAGAAGAGGGATAAATTAATAGTGCTTTTGTCTGGTGCAGGCTTTTGCAGTGGCGTTAACAACGTGGTGGCGTGCGCTGCGCGTCGTGGGGGGGGGGGGGGAGTAAATCGCGCCCCGCGGACTGGCCGGCCGATTTGAGGCGTGTACGTACGGCCGTTCCATTGCATCACGGGCCGTTGCCGTACCGGCCATGCCGCCTGCATGGCGACCTTTGGGGCCTCGGCCTTTGGGAAAGACTTACCGGGACCCGCTGCCCACAAGCGGGCTCGGGGACGTGCCCGAAAATAGGGCTTGGCTCTTTTGGACCTTTTCATACCGTAAAGCGCCGTAAAGCTTGATGTACGAAAGTTGAAAGGAGCGTTCACCAAAGTCCGCGCAGACGTCAGAAAAATAAGACGAGGCAGCACATTCCTCTGGCTGCAGCGGCGGCCCCGAGGTCATGGCCCCCCCCCCCCCCTCCTGGCCGCAGGGACCCACGCAGCAACAATTACAACGGGGAGCCCTGTTGTTTGCTGGGGGGAGTTGCCGACGGAGTTCCCTCCCGCGACTCGTCGTCCTAAACGGCTCAATCATACGCCTTCCCCGGGAACTTATGACCTCTGCGTTAATCGGGGTGTGCCCTGCTGAAAAGAAAGACGCCAATAGTTTTCAACTCACGCGCGGTTCCTTTTTTTTAAAAAAAAATTTTAGTTTTAGGCGTGGATTTAAAGGTGGTTGTAATGAGGGTAATTGACCTCTCTTCGAGCATAAGTACCATCAATTGTGCAAGTAGGAAAACAGCGCTACTTTCCATATTAAAGAATCGCGAGTCCGTGCCTTTTTTTTGGTCTTTTTTTTTTTTTTTTTTTGCTGTGTGTTGGTGCGGCTGATACGAGATATGGATATGATCTGACTGTCTCGGTTTCTCCTGCACGGGGCTCGCAGGGCGTGTCGCGGCCTAGAGGGGGCTGGAGCCGTGCTGGCCTTGCTGGAGCCCCGAGCGAGAGGCGCGGGTGTGTCATTTCACTTTTGCTTCGATTAGCTCTCTCTCTCTCTCTCTCTCTCTCTCTCTCTCTCTCTCTCTCTCTCTCTCTCTCTCTCTCTCTCTCTCTCTGGTAGGACGAGAGGGAAGTCCGCTCGGAGCGAGCTCGAAGAAGGTCACAATGCTCCAGTGCGCGTCGCCGTGGTGGACACGGCGGTGGGGCAGCGTGCCACGCCACGCCACGCCCCGTTGCGCTTCGTGCCCCGGCCACGCCGACGACGCTGGCGGTGGCCCCGGACGCCCCGGACCCCCGCAATGCGGATATACGTCAAGCCTCTCGGCCCGTAACCTGGACGACTACTGACGGACGATGCCCCCCCCCCCCACACACACACACACTCCGAAAGAAAGGCGTTTCTTGAAATTTTGCAATAGTGTGTCAGTATCTTGGTTTTCAAAAAATTCTGTCAGTTGTACGAATGTGACCCAAGTGTCGCCGCAAATGCTTTGCCGTGGACCACTCCACTGGAAATTGGCGCTGTGCACTGTAGGGACCAATCAGGATCCTCTGCCGAAACGCCCAACCGGCCCCCTCTTTTTTTCCAGGGCGTCTCGCTGACTTGCATATTTTAACTGCTTTTGCCTGTGCATGACGTCGCCCCGCAGCGGCGAAATGCACGTCGGTAATGACGGAAATGAGCGCCGTTTCTGCGTGCGTCTCTGAATTAGTCCTACTTTTGCCCTTTCCGCCGCGATGCGTGAGCGAGGAACGACCGTCTTTTTTTCGCGCCGCCGATGGACGCGTTTTTTCACTCTGCCGATGGCCAATTTGGCCGCGATGGCTGCCTCGTGATGATAATGATGACGGGGAATGTGTTAATGAGGAATGTCGCTTTGTTGTTCGTGGAATTGTTATGTGCGGGCCGGGCGAGGCGGGCCGGGCCTAGGCCTTCGCGCCTCCAGATCCATCATTTGCGACACAGGTGCACGCTTTCTGACGTCACAGCCGCTCGGAGAAACTGGAGCGCGGATAGGGCGTAGTGGAGGTGCGGCTCCAGGGAGGGGGTGAGACTAGGCCGCCTGGAGGGTAGGCATCAGGCACTACTTCGCCCCTGTAAGAACAGGCACTTGATAGGCTTGACCAGGGATGACCCTCTGTCGATTGGCGGCCAAAGTACTACCTCCAAAGTCCTGGATCCTGGATCCACGGCGGGCGCAGCCCAAGCATTGCCGCTAATGAAGTGGAAAGAAGAGAGGAGTGTTCGCAGACCACGTGACCAATTAGAGGGTGTACCCTGACGAGTGCGGTACACTTTCACGTTGATTGTGTTTGGTTTTGTTGTGTCGAACAAGCTCGTAGTTCGGTCCGACACGACGGAAAGTAAGAGTCGGTGTGCTACGCTCCTCTCGCTGCGCTTTTTTCGGTCGCGGTCTCTGTCGAGAACGCTGCGGCACTGCGGGGTTGGTTCGAGCAGTGAGCTCAAAGAGTTTGACTAAATCGAAAGTTTAAAAAAATTTGTTCAGTTGTAAGTTGGTTGAAATGGTTTCGAGGTATCGAAGTTTGGCAGTGTGGCGCCGTCGCGGGGAGTCCCTCGGCCCGCGTGCAATCAAGGGCCGTTGCGTCACCCGGAGGCACTGCCTCGCCGCCCTGCCGCCCTGCGATCCGTGTACACTGTAGGTACGGAGTTTGAGAGCGACGCCCGAGTTTAGGACGTTGTTACCGTCAGCGTGGTGGCACGCCTGGCTCGCCGTGTGAATTATGGCCGCCCGGGGCTTGGTGTGGCGGTGTTGGCAGCACTGTGCTGCCGCAGTGTTGGCAGCACCTGTACTCCCTCTCATTAGAATTCGAAAGATTAAGTTTTGATTATGAGGGATTATTGAACATAATTTGAGCGCCGGCCTCGAAAGAGCTGTCAAAATGTCAAAAAATCAAGTATTCCTGATTTTGGGCGGCCACTGCGTCCAATCTAGCTGATGTTTAAGGCCTCCCTCAACGCCCTGGTATTCTGGAGACCATACTCTTTCATACCACGTCTTTGACCCCAGCTAGTTTGGCAGCAGTAGCCTCACAAAGTTGATCAAAAAAAGCGAGTGAATCTCCGAATGAATGATTACGGTTTTGTCGGAATGTTATCTCACTGATTTCCGACTGGGCGTACTTGTGTCAGTCCGTTAGTGCTTCCGTTGGTCTTGTCTGTCTGTCTGTCTGTCTGTCTGTCTGTCTGTCGTCTGCCCGCCTGCGTGCGCGTGGTCCGACCGACTTTGACTTTGAGTCGGTGTGGGTGGCGGACGCGTTGTGCAACCGACCTGGGGTAACTGGGAGCCGCCGGGTAAAGCGGGGCCTATCGTGCCGCGCGTGTCACGGGTAACCGAGGTAACTGCCTTATTATTCTGCGGCAGGGGCCAAAAATATGGCGTTGTTGCGCACGCGGCGGTGTCGCCATTTAATTAGTGTCGGTGTTAATTAACAACAAAGGGGGGCGGTGCACTCTCTCTCTCTCTCTCTCTCTCTCTCTCTCTCTCTCTCTCTCTCTCTCTCTCTCTCTCTCTCTCTCTCTCTCTCTCTCTCTCTCTCTCTCTCTCTCCCTCTCTCTCGTGCCATCTTTTTGTTGAACGCGCGTAATTGCGTGTTGTTGCGGGGGGCCACAGCTGGTCCACCTGAGCCGGGGTCGCGACGCCCCCGCAGCCCCTTTGCCCCGCAAGCCGCAGTGCACTGCCGGGAAAACGACTTGGAAAGTGTAGAGATGTTGTCGAGGTGCGGCTGGAAACTTGGTGTCTGGGTTGCTTACCCTGGCTCCTGCGTCGAAGTCTCCGCCATGCCGCGAGAGTTGTGTTTTATGCACGCAGACTAACTTAGCTTGCCGAGGAGTCTTCTTATGAAGTGATGTTGAATCTATTTGACTAACGTATTGAGACCTAGAGTTGTCCCACTAGGGATCGGTTTCCATCCAACTGTCTTGCAACTCAAGAGTCTCTTGAAAGCGAAGTGTGACTTGGCCCTGCACTGGTTCTGCCGTCGGCTACTAAGCCTGCTCATGGCATCTCTAACGACGGTCCCCTTGTTCTGCCCGCAGGATGCCCTAGCCAGTGACCATGCCGGGCAACAGCCCCCGCGAGGGTGGGGTGGCGGCCGAGCCGGCCGTGCTGGCCCCCGACAGCCTGGGCGACAGCGTGGGCGACAGTGTGGGCGACAGCCCCACCCCCAGCAGCCCCGCCACCAGCCCCACGCCCAGCAACGCCAGCAACGCCAGCCCCTCCAACCTGGTCGACAAGATGGAGTCGCAGCGACGGCTCAGCACCTCCTCGGACGCGTCCTCCTCGGGCCTCAACGACTCGCAGAAGGTGAGCGCATCCCTTGCCGTGCAGTCTGGAGTCCTATACAGACCATGCACACTGCATACAAAACAACCACTCAAACGCTAGACTTTTTTTTAGAGAGAGGTGGGGTCTTGATGTATTGCGTGAAGAGAAATGGAAATGGTCGTATAACTTAGGCCCCGTGGCATCACACACGCACACACACACACACACACACACACACACACGAGCCCACTAAATGGCCCCCGGTCCAACCTGTGCCTCCTGCATTTTTCTCTGCAACTTGTCATTCCCTTATCGGTAATCGTAGAGCGGGAGAAGAGGAGGACCCCGTCCGCTCCGGGTGACCCGTCGTCACCTCGCACCACAATGGCGTGGCCGTCTCACACACACACGCTCACACACGCACACACACACACACACTCACACACACTGATGTAGATCTCCGTTATATGGACGAGTGTGATTTTTACAGGCTTCAGGATGGCAGTCTATAAATTAAAAGGTTGTTCCACCTTTGTGTGTGTGAGTGTGTGTGTGTGTCAGTGTGGCAGGTTAATAGACCGGTCCACCACGCCGCGCCAGCATTTCTGGTCGATCACGCCAAGCTACACCGAAGCCACGCCAAGCTGGCGGCCCGGGCAAATTTTCGATTCGATCGTTTAATTACTGTGATTGGCTCGGCGAGGCGGCCCGAATACTGGGCGGTGCAAGAGGCGTCTCGTTTCCTTTTTTTTTTCAGAAAGAGGAAGGCATTTTTACTCTGGAAGTGACTGCTGTGTGCGTGTGTGTGTGTTAATAATGATCCTTCTTCCGCCGTTTTCCCTAAATCGTTATTATTTGGGAAGGAACCCTGCGATGGACTTAGGCCAAGTCGTTGATAGGACAAAAAAAAGCATACCAGGGCAACATTATCTGCACTGAAGAAAAATTGCCAAGCAGGACATTTGCACGTAAATCCTGTGTGTAGCTCGCAGTAAAATTCTGTCCTGTTTTCACTGCATGCGCTTCGTCTCTCTTCTGTGCATTTTTTTTTTTGTTCTGGCCGTGCTGCAAGTCTCTTCGATTATCGATGGAGCATTTTGCATATGGTGGCTGCGCGTTTAATTTTCCCTCCAATGAGGAAGACGCGCTGTGAAGGCGTTTCATCACCGCGCTGCCGATTGATTGGTTGATTGTTGCGCGGATCTCATTTTCTCCGGTCATTTCACCTAGTCGGAAACGGCATTAACGTGCGTGTGTGAGTGTGTGTGTGTGTGTGTGTCAGTTTTTGATGTGTGTGTGTGTCTGTCTGTGGTCTAGTGTAGGTTGGTCTGCCTTGCCCTTTGCGTCGTTTGCCCCTCTCCCAAGTTGCACACACTCTCTCTCTCTCTGTGTGTGTGTGTGTGTGTGTGTGTGTGTGTGTGTGTGTGTGTGTGGTGAGTGTGTGCAAGTGTGTGCGTGAATCTTCCGCATCGGCTGGAATGGATAGATCACCTTTGCTTCGTGAGTACTTTATTACGTCCGAGCAGGGCTCTAGCAGGGCTCTAGCCGGGCTCTAGCAGGGCGCATAGCATGATAAAAGACCCGGCGAGGAGAAGATGAGGTCTGCATGCAACGTTTCCCTCCCCGCTCTCTCGGTTCTCCTGTTGCGCAAGGGCACGCCATCACGCTTTCTGCATGACAGGGGTCTTCTCCTCCATCTGGAACTGGGACGCGCGCCGCTCCTCGTGTAGCTGCGACCAAAAAACCGCCCTCGTGAACAGAACAGCTAGTTTACGGAAGGCATCCGTCAAGCCGTGCCACACTCGTGGAGTGGCAGATTGGACTTGTGTGCCCGCCCATCCCTGAGGGTTCTTATTAGAAGCAAGGATTTTTTTTGGTTCAAGCCGTTATTTTTTAACTTCCAGAGTTTGAATCTACTTTGCCAAAGTGCTGTTTTTTTTTTTAGCAGTTGAACACCAAGATTCGCAAAGATATCAAAAACAATGAGACACGTCCATTTTTTTCCCGAGGGTCATTGGTTGCAAGGTCATCTCGAGATTAAGTCAGCACAGCACCGTGATGAAACCGAGGCTGCCGCCCCCGGCTGCCTTTTAACTCCTCGTTGTTTGGCTGGCTGATGCCTCAATGCTCATCCTCGAAAAGCGTCCGACCTTTTGCCTGCAGCCCCGCGGCGGACGGAGCCCCGTTTTGCCGGCGACGGTCCCATTGTTTCCCAACACTCTGGACATGATTTCTTTGGCGGTCGCTTGCCCCTTGACCCTGGCCCGGGGCTTTTCATTCTTACGTATTAGCGACGCAAGTTCCATATCCCCTCTGCGAGCTGACCGCATGTGGACGATGGTATCTGCGGTTGTTTTTGACGTTGCTCTCTCTCACACTCTCACAGACACACGCGCGCTAGCCACACCGCAACTATGCTGAAGATTCCGGAAGTATCATCTATCCCGTGCTAGCCAGGCTAGTGCTAGGCCAGTGCTGGCCGCATATATATTGTTGGCTAAGCCGCGCTGCCACGCCGCCGAGGGTTTTGCCGGACAGGCCGGCCACTCACGCACAGCCTTCTTTTTCTCGTTGCATCGCTATCATTACGGCGGTGAAAGTTTTTTATCATTTATAGAAGGCTCTGCGAGGCATGGTTGATAAGTGCAGATTAAATGGGCACGCATTGGAAAAAGTCACGTGGGATTTCGTGCGGTGGTTGAAAATTCGGGACTAAGGGATTATCATTTGGTTGGTTAGTTGATGGTTCGTGTTTTAACTTCCTGGCGATGCAAGTTGTAATGAAGTGTTTTGTCTTGTTGCAGGTATATCCATGGGTACATTACGCTGTGAATTGTGGTCTAGCCGTAAGTAACAGTACTACTTCAGTCAAAGGCATTCACGCCAGGAAAATGACTCACTGATTTCTCGCTTCTGAATTATATTCGAAAAAAAGTAGCTCCTCTTCATTCCCTGACGTGCATGCTTCTATCCATATTCATACTAGGCTTCCGTTCTCGTTTACATGAACGTTATGGCGCTTTGGTGTGGATATTTATTCCGGCTCGTGAAGCACTTTGGTCGCTATAAAAATCGTCTGTTCACTGTTCTTTCCTAGGAACAGGTCGTGCCAGCCGCCTGGGGGTTCGCTTGTTTTTTTTTTCTTTTCCTGCTTTTTAGGAACGTCCATGAAAGACATGAGGTTTTTTTTCCCTAGTGGGACGCGCCTGTTGGTGAGATGGGTCGGCTCCATCTTTCTAATTTATGCTCGGTCCCTTTCGTTTTGTTTCATCCGACAAAGTTGTGTGTGTTATTGTGACACCGAACCGTTGAATCACCCTTTCAATTTGGATAAGCTGCTTCTATCGCTATCGTTCTACTGTACGTGCCTTGCCAGGACACCGCCGCTGCTTGTCTGACAGTCGGCCGCCTTGCCCACGGCTTGCGACATCCTCATCACTTCGGGTGGTGACAAACGCCCCAGGCCCTGGGTGGTCGCGGTGACGTCTGTGCCGCTCGGGGAAGGTCCCTAAATGTGTTGACCTTCCAGTGCAGCCGGCTCCGACCTTCACTCACCGTGTCCTAAAAAAATGAAAGTCAAATCAGCGTCGAATCCTCTCATTTCAGTGGCGGCGTTGACCAAATTGCGCGGATGCAGGTCAACTGAAGTGGAGGACAAATGCCCCTCCTCGCCCCGGGGCCCGCGGCCCCGCCACCTGGCCGGCCTCTGCAGACTGACTCGTCGCTCTGTCTCTCTCGCACCTGTAGCCGACGCCCCACGGGTGCGAGAGAGACAGAGCGACGAGTCAGTCTGCAGAGGACCGCAGAGAAAGTGTCCCTTTTATCATTAAAAGCGCGGCAAACGACACAGTGCACCGCCCCCGGTTCATTTATTTCGGCCGGTCCTCTTTGCCGGCGAGCCGCCACAAGAAATGTAACACTTTCTCCCTCGGCCAAAGAAGTCGTGCGACAAACACGGCCCGAGGAGGATATTGTCTATTCTTCGGGTGGTGACAGTTCGTCTCTTTTTGCCGGCCGGCCTGGCTCTGGCCGCGCGCTGGCCTGGATACTGTTGGAACTGGTCCCGCGCGGCCGGCATTGAAATCCCCCTCATAGTCGTGCATCGGTCTAGACCTTGTTGTTGTTGTTGTTGTGTCAGGACGGGAAAGTGGCGGAATTGGCTGAACAAAGGACATTGTCTAATTCCCGGTTGGTGCGCAGGGTGACTGCTAGAGGGCGCCAGTGTCGCGTACAGTCGCGGACGGTCGCGGACTGCAGAGAAGGCCGCCTAGAGGCCGCCTTGTCGGAGAGGACTTACGGTGGTGGTGTTCCAAAGTAAGCGGCGGAGTGTCGTTGGCTGCGGCGCGCTAATAACCCTGCTGGCTTTGGCTTCCCCGTCTGGGGAATGAATTTTTGTTGTTGTTGTTTGTCAAAATTGTTGCCCCGCAGTGACGCCGGCCGCCCGACGGTGTGACTCTTCTAACACTTGTTGTTGTTGTTGTTGTGCAACGTGTACTAACGAGATGTCGCTGCTCTTGTTGATGTTTGCTCCTCTGATGCCGCCGGCCGGAAGTGCGTTTTATAGCGGTGCAGGAAGGAGCGCGCCTCCAGGTGAAACTCCCTCTCCTCCTCCTCCCATGCAAATAGGCGGGGCGGAACGAGACAGCGGACGGGGCGGCGCGGCGGTGGAGCTCCAGATTTTAAAATCGCCCGGAAAATCAAGACCGAGAAGGGGGGGGGGGGCAATTATTTCCTCCCGCGGAAGGGGTTCGCATTTTAGCGGGAACGTGACCTAGTTCGGGGGGAATTCAAAAGTTTTCGGCCTTTTCGTAGTTGGAAGGCTGCTGTGTCACCGATATTGTCAACTTGAGGCAAAATAGTAGCACAACAAATCTTGAATTTTTTTGTTTTTGTTCCACCTTAAGACTACCTGCTTAGCTACAAATTAAAAAAAAAACGATAATTTTTTTTTCTTGAGTGCACTGGGTTATGCATTCCCTGTCGGTAGGGTCTTGGATTGGGAACGGGTTGTCCCACACTTATCTTGGCGTGTCCTCTGG